CCCATTGGCTACAAAGACAATGGCTGCGATTGGCTGCGTTCAGCAGAACGTTCGTTTTGCAACTGTTGGAAATTTCTTTCGAGCTGATTGGATCATACTTTTAGATCTAGAAGAATGGTCCTATCTCAGCAGACAATCATAAAACGGTTGCAAAACTGTTGAGTCTGCTGAACGCAGCTAATGTGGCAGACACGTTTTGTCGTCTAGTCCGCCTAACCTTGGACGATAATCTGTCAGACGTTTCAAATGAAACTATTCAGAGCAATTATGATCTAGTCTGAAATAGAATAAACGTTCGGGAGTCCGTTCGCTTCTTATTCCCCGAGAATAAAACAGACATTTCTCTCTGTGCTTCCTCTTTGTAATTTTTTAAATAAATATATAGTAGTCGTGTCGATAGCCGGTACGCTATAATGCGAGTGCCGACCAACGTTGTTTTTCTTAGCATTTTTGTGATCCTGTTGACTTGCATAAGCAACATTCAATGCGAGAAAGGAAAGTTAGGTGAGGAAGAACTCAAGTCTCAAAAATTTCCACCCTGCGCAGCATGCAAAGTACTTACCAATAGTTTCAAAAAGGTAAACGAATTCCTAATCTTGAAGTATTTAATAAGTTATATATTTAAATCTTTTTGTAAGTTAAAACTATCAAATGAAACGTAACACAATTGTGTTATGTTATTTAGATATATAATTTTAAGATATTTTAGAATAATTCTTTCATGAATACAATTATTTTGTAGGGTTTAGAAAAGACAAGTCGTGGAAAGTTTGAAGGCGGAGATAGTGCTTGGGAGGAGGATAAGTTAGGCTCATATTCAAGAAGTGAAATACGACTGATTGAAATACAAGAAAACTTATGTAAAGACGTTGAGCGTGGCCAAGTGCAGTGCCAATCTTTAGCTGAAGAATTAGAGAGTCAGATAGAGAAATGGTGGTTTAAGCATCAAGATACTCATCCAGATATATATGATTATATCTGTATTGAAAAGACAGAGCATTGTTGTCCAAAAGATCATTATGGCCCAAATTGTACGCAATGTCCAGGATACCCAGATAACATCTGCAATAATAATGGCAAATGTAAAGGGGCTGGCACAAGAAAGGGAAATGGAGGCTGCTTCTGCGAAAAAGGATATATTGGAGACATCTGTTCAGATTGTGCTCCAGGATATTATGAATCTTACAAAGATGAAAAAACTTTGCTATGTTCTGTATGCCATGCAGCGTGTGATGGACCTTGCAGAGGTGCTGGTCCAAAGGATTGTGAGAAATGTGCTGCTGGATGGCACATGATTGAAGACAAAGGCTGTTTTGATATCGATGAATGCTTAAAAAATGACATTTGTCTTGGCAATCAATTCTGTGTTAATAAAGATGGAAGCTATACTTGTTTGAGTATATATCTACTTTTTAATAAATTATATTTTTGTAATATGGATATATTAAAATTAAAAACTCGGAATCTTTTCAGCTTGCGACAAAGCTTGCAATGGTTGCACTGGCGATGGGCCAGACATGTGTATCAAATGCGCCAAAGATTATCATAAACAGGATAATTTGTGTATGAGTAAGTATTACAAATAATAATATAATATAATAAATTTTAAATGACGTGTATTTATAATTTATATTATTTAGATTCAGATCTCCTTGGCCGCAAGAAACAAGAAAATCTAGCAAGATATGTGACGTATTTCGGACTTTGTGTGGCAACATGTATTATTTTGCAGCGTAACGTTTATGTAGCAAGTGTTATCGGTTTGTTGGTTGCAGTATATATATCCGTCTCAGAGTATATGATCACACATAGCAATGTCCAAGATACAACTGCAAATATGGACATTCTTGGACCAGCTTAAATAGGAATCTAATTTAACCATTCTCTATAAAGACATTTTATTATATTGTATTAGGATAAAGAGTCATTATCCATATGTAAAATAAGTCATATTAAAATTAATATGTAATTAATTGTATAAAATGAAAAGATGCCAGAATTTTATTAATATTTATTTGCTATGTTTTTGAAAACTGTGTCCCTGATCTCTTATACGTGTATATATATATATATACATATATGTTTTTACTGATACCTATATATTTACTTTACATAATTTATGATTTTTATTTAAATATTAAAATATTTCAAAAATTTTATGGCCTGTTTTAAAAATATTATTTCTTGTCTACCAGTTATTGATACTGGCTTCTCGTCTAAAATATCTATTGCATATATACATATTTTTTTTATTGCATACATCATATATGTGTGTCATATATTTTACATCATTGTAAATATTATATATCAATGTAGAAAAAATAATAAGAAAAGATATATATTTGAAATAAGTATCCGGAAAAAAATGTTATACATATATATGGACATATTTTATATATAATTATATATGAAAAATTTTTTTTTAGTATATACATAACATACACAACAAAATGTATAACATATTGGCATTTTTATACTTATAAAAGATTTAAATGATTTTTGCTGATATACGTATATCTCTATTACTTTCAATAGTTTCTGATAACTATAATGTAATAACATCGACCTCAACAAAGAAAACATAATATTATCAATAATTAATAAAATTTGATTAAAAATTATGATATTGTATATTATACCTTTAGTATACAATATATTTGATTAATTCAATCATAAATATATATATCAATTATATATATGTACTAACATATAATATTTAATATAGCAATAAAAATATATTATTTGAGTAAAATTATATTTCCACTTCTTCCCTGTTATACAATTTACAAATCTAGTAATATACTAGTATTATAGAAATATTGAAATAATATGGAAATATTTTTATCAATAAATTATAAAGTTAATTATTTAAATAATCTCAGGTATTGTATAAGGCATATCTAAATTATATACTTAAATTAAATAATAAACTGTACTCAATTTGATGTTTATATATTTAAAACACAGTTTTAGTGACATTCAAACAGAATGTGTAAAATATGTAAAACTAAAGGATATCATTGTAGACTGGTGATATTTAGATCAATAATAACATTTCATTTTCCACGATAAAGTTTCATTTTTATATTATTCAAAATCGGCTTCTCTCTCTCTCTCTCTCTCTCTCTCTCTCTCGATAAGAATATTATTATCGAATGTGTAATGATGGCATAATCGTCAAACATGTTCAACTACAATAAATTTGTAACACAGAAAAATATTTTATCTCTAACTTTTTACAATTTAATTATTACCACAATGTTTGTCTTGTAAAGAATGATTTCAACTTTTTTATCTCTTAATAATAAGAATACTATTCCGATCTATTACATCGAGAATGTAAAAATGTACTGTTGTGTTGAATTGAACAACAAATTACGTTCTAGAGTTCACATTATAAAAAATAAAATTCTCATTAAAAAAGATTCACTGCATTTATATATTGTATATATGTATAATGTATATATCCTTTATATAAAAATATGACTTATATTCAACAGGTAAGAATATTTAAGCCTAATGACTTATATTATTATGGTATATAAAATGAAAAAATGAACTCTTCTGATACTTGTAGAATTATTAATAACGCTCTGACATGTTCAACTCCAATTATAAAAAAAAGTTATTTAGACGAAGTTCCTTAATCTGTCGTTAGAGGACCAAAAAATAAGAACACTTTCTCGTATTTAAATTTTAACATGTTCTTTATATATATAGGTTCTACATTAAAAGAAAATTTTATAAGCAATACTCAATATATTTGTACTACATTTTTTGAAAGTAGTTTAAAGTTTTTAAACGTTATATGAAACTAAAATTAATTTATTCACAACAGAAGTAAAACATTAAAATAATTTTAATATTATTTGCTTAATTTTGTATCGTAATTTCGTATATATAGCTTCATCTTATAAAATGACATTATACTAAAAGATAATTAATTATTAATATTAATATCATGAATATCAAATATTATGTATGTAACAGAAGTATTTTCATGATAATTTTATTAACAGATGTATGATTGAAATTTTCATAATAATATAATACTGATATTTTAATTTTATTTTTTTATTTAGATATGATATGTATTAATAAGTGATTTATTAACTTTTATACACAGAGAAATTAAAATATGTTTAATTTAACATATAATATTTACGTGCAGTATTTTGTATTTAATTCTTTTAATATACGATTGATTCTCAGTGCATCTTATACATTATATGATTAAGTTCAATTACATTAAGTCTGACTAACTTTAAAATATATACTGAAATATCATATGACTATCTGAAAAGTTCCTTAATTCATCCCTAGATGGGTAAACTGAGAAGTAGTTTCTCGCAGTTAAATTTTAACGTGCTTCCTTTATATATTCCACATTTATCATAATAGCTTATAAGCAATACTCAATATTATTCACATCTTATCGTATATTTTTTTGAAAGGCTTCTACTAGAAGAGTATTATATCGTTCAAAAAGTAATTTCAAAAACGTTTAATGAGAGATCGTAATACTGATCATGTTTCGATTTGAGTCTAATTTCGAAAAGTGCCATGATATGCATGCAAGTAGTATTTTATTTTTGTTTAACATTTGGTATTTTGGTGCACTTTACGGGACGCAGTTATAGATTGCCAATAATGAAAATATACAGTTTACAGTTCAGTAATTCATGTTACATAGATTTTCAGTAATGGCAATGAATATCAGAACACGACCACTGATGGCCACTGATGTCCACTGATGTCAGCAGGGTCAGTAATAAAATTAGTTAAACTGTCACTAGATGACTAAACCTGAAAACTGTTTCTTGTATTTAACACAATTTCTTTATAAGATACATCTTCGTATATAACTTGACTTCGTATATAAGCAATATTCAATATAAGCGATATATAATTTATCGTAAACATTTTGAAACAGTAATCAGATTTAAAAAACGATAGACAATTCAAAAGTTAATTAATTTCTATTAATATCTTGCTCATTAAAAGTGCTACGACTAAATTATTTTTTCATTATTAGCAATAAAAGTAACAGGAAAAACGATTTTTATAGAAAAATAGAAATTCTGGATTTTATCTAATGTAATGTTTTTGTTTATTTACATATTGCATGTTATATCATATGCGAGGGGGTAACCACTAGCTGAAATATTGTCCCACAGATTACATGATTTCATATGATTTCATCTGATTACAAATTTTTATATGTAATTATCGGATTATGCATAGAGATTTCATATAAATTTTATAATGATTTCAAGGACTCTGTCCCACGATTACATTAAGTGGTTACCCCCTCGATCATATGCTATGCTCATAAAAGGGAAGTGTGTGAAAAACAAAGGGCAAAAGAAGTATGATATATTCAGACAAGATCATCTATAGCTATGTCTTTCTATCCTTTCTCTTCCTAGATTTTTACTAACTCCCTTATCCTTTTCAAGAATAGGAACCGATCTCACCAATTTCGATTAACCTAATCGGTAGTCAAGCGATTAAGACCCAGTTCCACGATTAACTCTTAATCGAGGTTCAATTTCATTGTCTTTTTCCAATTCTAGAATTGGAAAGAGATGAGAAACAAGTTGAACCTTGGTTAAGAATTAACCGTGAGTTGTGGAACTGGGCCTTAGTGTCAATCATAATTGATCAATTCTGCTGAACAGTAAACGCGATTGGTCAGTTCCAATGTAACAATCGGTCGATTAAGTTAATCGGAGTTGGTGAGACCGGCCCTAGGGGTTCTGGTACGTATTCTAGCAGCAATGAACGTTTCAATATTATTATGGTACATCCCGTTTTACGCATAATGTATGTATTATTTCGTTTTTGTTTAACATTCAGCAACGATAAAATGTATGCATTTGCAAACAAAAATAAAAATGATAAATTATCATGCATAAAAAAAGAACGTTTTCTAACGTTTGTCTGTTCAGCAGCATTCCAGTAGTTATAGTCCATTATATTAATTGCGCGGTCTTCGCTAGGTGGCTAAATCTAAAAACAGTTTCTTGTATTTAAAATTTAACACACTTTCTTTATAAGTGTGATTTTCATATAGTTTGTTATAAGCAATACTCAATAGCGATATAAGTATAATCTATCGCAAACTTTTTGAATGGTAATCGATTCAACAAAAACATTAGACAATTAAAAATTAATTTATTTTTATTGATATCTCGATTAATGAAAGTGCTACGAATTTCTTTTTATTGCTAGCGATAAAAATGGCACAAGAAAAAGCAATTTTTATTTTAAAAAATTGTTAAATTCTGGATTCTGTCTAATTTAATAAATATATATTTGTTTGCGTTTTAATACAATAAATTAAAATATTAAATATATTAAGTTTAGTATTTTCATCACATTAATATGACAAGATATTACAATAGAATTAACAATAGATATGTCATATTTAATTATCTTATTTAGGTAGTATTTGCTTAGCCTATAATTTATATCTTCACGTTGCTTGAAATTCTCAAAAATGTTTGCCTTAATTTAAAATGAGATACACATATGTAGGTGTCGAAGAAATAGAGAAAGCAAAAATACTGAATATAAAAAGTACAAGCAGACTTATTATTTGTCTGCAACAGATTTATTATTTGCAAAAGTAAAGGTAAAATATGCTATTTTCTGACGCTAGATGAATAAATACGATAGCACTTCCTTGTATTCAAATAACGTCTATCACTAGTATTTCTTCTGACAATGAATTATGTTTGTATACATCAGACAACTTTATATCCACATTTTTGAATGTTTTTATATAGTTCAGATTACTTAACATAAATTTAAAAATAATCGACATTTAATCTATCCATATACATTTAATTTAATGCCTATTTCTCTTCAGGATTAATTGCTTTATTCATGTTTTTA